TGTTGGGTCAATTTTGGGGTCATAGACTCTCTTTCTCAAGAAGTGTTAAACCCACCAAGCTAGAATCAGTGTTTGCAACCACCAATCCTTAATTAAAACCTAAAATTAACCCAAATAGCAAACACCCAACATCAATCTATCCTTAGATGGCAACACCCATCAATTATCCACACTAGGGTTGAGCCACAACCCTAGCTAATGGGTTTAGCGAGACATAATTAAAGAAGAAACAGAAGAATTAGAAGAAGAACTAAACATAATAATTAATTACTGATAAGAAACGACAAGAATCTATTGAGAAATTAAAGCGAAAATGCCAAAATAGGCTAAAACTTCAGTTCTCACGAGCGCAGCTCGATATCTGGTACAAAACTTAACCTAAAAATGGGAAAAAGATCTATTTATAGTGGCTGGAAAAACTGGACAAAAATACCCCTGCCGGGTCAGCGCGAGCCGTGCAAAAAGGTAGAGCGGCCGCGTTGGCTCTTGAACTCTTGAATTTTAACTCTCTGAAGTTGAGGGACGCGGACCGCACGAAAGTGTAGCGCGGCTGCGGGAGCTCTCGCGCGGACCGCATAAGTGTGACCGCGGTCGCGTGGCTTGTACTGGTCCCAACTTGCAACTCTCTTAATCTCTCCAGCGCGGGCCGCATGATTAGGTGGCGCGGCCGCGTGAGCTGAACGCGGGCCACATAAATCCAACCGCGGCCGCGTGGTGAAAGTCCTGAATTTGCACTTCTCTGAATCTCCTATTGCGGCCGCGTGCACTAGGCTCTTTTTCCATCACTTTACTTGGCCTTTGATGCTTGACCAGGTTTCACTCCGTTTTGAGCCGATATTTGACATTTCAGTCACTTTGTTGGTCAAACCTGCAATCAAGCACAACCTGTGAGCATTTTGGGATTATTTTGTATCAAATTATACTCAAAGCATAGGCAAGTAGGGGCATAAAACACGTTAAAATTCTACTTATCAGAGCCCTCATACTTGCAGAAATGGATGGAGAAGTATGGCCAAAGCCGATCAATTCAGATGCAGTCAAATGCTAGTATGTGTAACCTTTATGTTTTCCCTACATGATGTAATTGAACTATGCCTGACCCGATTCCCGTTTAAGTGGGGATACGTAGGCAGCCCTATGGGTACGGTCACAATTCAATAAAATTTTCATTTTCCCCCCGAAATTAGAAACTGGGGCCGAATTTTGAGGAGGACCCTCAAAATTCCGAAGTAACTTCAGCCAATCGCCGCACGAGCAGCAGTCAGAAGCATCAACCCATCAAACTGGGGCAGAGTTTTGAGGAGGACCCTCAAAATTCCGTAGCAGGAGAGGTTGCAATGTCCTAAATTGCGTCACAGTCGGCGGTTCATCTAAAAACTATTTTTTATTATACATTTATGTCATACTTTTACAAAATCGTGCATGTCTATTACTGAAATTGCCTTGTTTAGCAACGCTACCCCAATGATACATACAGTATCACCAGATCAAAGGCAAGCAGGTCAAGCAGAGCCAGAGGGGATACGAACTAACCTCTCCCTTTTACAAAACTCACGATTTTTCTTTGGATGCAGGCACTTGGATTGCGAAATCACTTAAAGCACCAAGCCGCACCTGCGCTTCTTCTACTGTACCAGCGATCTCGCAGGTGCGCTCCATCTCTCACACTTGCGACTTTAGAACTCCAAATGCCCAGCCGCATCTGCGACTTCTCCATCGCTTCTGCGGGCCCGCACCTGCGGTCCCATGCACGCAGGTGCGGTTATGACAGATCCAGCCAACTCAGATTTTTCCTACGTCCAATTCAACTTCCGTTAAGCACCCGAAACTCACCCGAGGCCCCCGGGACCTCAACCAAACATGTCAACCAATCCTAAAACATCATACGAACTTATTCCAACCCTAGAATCACATCAAACAATGCTAAAACCACAAATCACTCTCCAATCCAAGCCTAAGGATTCCCAAAACTTCCAAATTTCGCTTTCGATCAAAAAGTCTATCAAACCTCGTCCGAATGACCTAAAATTTTGCATACACACCCCAAATGACACGACGGACGTATTCCAACTTCCGGAATTCCATTCCGACCCCGATATCAAAATCTCATATTGAACCGAAAACTTCGATAATTCGACTTTCGGCATTTCAAGCCTAAATATGCTACGGACCTCCAAAATACAATCGGAACACGCCCCTAAGTCCGAAATCACCCAACAAAGCAAATGGAACCAACGGAATTCTATTCCGAGGCCGTCTTCACATTACTCCGACTACGGTCCAAATTCTGAAGCTTAAACTCTCATTTAGGGACTAAGTGTCCCAAAACTCTCCGAAACTCCAAACGAATCCTCCCGGCAACTCACAATAGCAGAAATAAACACGGGAAAGGCAGTTAATAGGGGATCGGGGCGTCAATTCTTAAAACGACCGGTCGGGTCGTTACATACCATAACCCCACGAACTCAAATATATAATTTTTACCTAATTCCATAATCATTTTCGTGGTTTAATCCCATTTTTATCAAAACCTTAGATTTTCAACCAAACCCAGAATTTCTACAATTTATGTGTTAAGAATCTACCCAAAATGGATGTATTAAACTCATCTTGTATAGAAATTACTTACCTCAAAGTGCTAGGTGAAAACCCCTCTTCAAAGAGCTCTTAAATCGTCCAAGAAGTGAAAGAAATGAACAAAAAAGCCTAAGTCTCGACATTAAATGAACATCACTACCTTCAGTGGTTTCACACCAGCGATCGCAAAGCCGTACCTGAGGCGCCGCTTCTGCGGAAAAATCATCGCAGGTGTGGACCATGCTCAGGTCTGCCATTCTCGTTTTTGCGGGCAGAGCATCGCTTCTGTGAGCCCGCTTCTGCGGCGAATGCGTCGCACCTGCGAACCCAGGCTGGCTGGCATCCTCCGCTTCTGCGATCAACTTCCTCGCACCTGCGCGTTCGTAGTTGCGGTTCCTTCTCCGCTTTTGCGACCACTGGCCAATCCACACCACGTTGCTTCTGCGGTCATTGGCTCGCTTCTGCGAGCTCGCACCTGCGACAGATCCTTCGCAGGTGTTGCACCAGAACCCCTGCCGCTTCAGCCCTCCTTCCAAGTTCAACCATGTTCCGCACGTTGTCAGAATAGTACCCGGGGCCTCGCCCAAACATACCAACAAGTTCGTATTCATGAGACAGACTCGCTCGACCCCTCAGAATATGTAATCAACCTCAAAACTAAGAATTCCACCCCAAACCAAATCAAATCAGCTTATGAACTTCAAGTTCTTCCAACTTACTCCAAACGCGCCGGATCATACTTAAACTATTCGGAATGACACCAAATTTTGCATGCAAGTCTTAGATAACCATAAGGCACTACTACTAGGCTCGGAATCCCTAAAGGACCTTGATAACACCAAACCCTACTTCAAACCAAATTTAAGGAACTTGAAAACCTTCAATGCGCCAACTTTCACTATGCTGAAACGCTCCCGGATCATCCGAAACCCGATCTGAACATACGCTCAACTCCAAAATCATCATACGAACCTATTGGGACTGTCAAATCCCGGTTCGAGGTCGTTTACGAAAATGTTGACTCAAGTCAAACTTAACCATTTTAAGCCAATATTAATGAACTAAGTGTTCCGATTTCAACCGGAACCCTTCCAAACCCGAACTAACCATCCTCGCAAGTCATAAAACAGTAAAAGCGCATACAGATAATCTTAACTAAGGTAACGGGGATCTAAAAAACAAAACGACCATTCAAATAATTACAATACTGACTGCGCTTCCAAATTTAATTAAGAGACGACTTGGATGATTTCTATGGTGACAAGTTGTTCAACTCTTTTGCTTGGTACTTAAAGATTCTCAAAGGACTAGTGATCCTGCATGTATTAGAAGTTTACTTCTTTTATTGTCAACGTTTATCTCAAAAGTAGCCTCATGACACCACTATTAGAAATTCGGCCAAATCCGTTCGCAGCCGACCGACCTCGGTCGACGGTTAATTTTTCAAAATATTTTATTTTTTAGTTTTTCTACGAAACCCACCAACTTCGATCGATTTTTTAATGCAAAAATGCGTGAAACTATTTTAACGTCCCGCGAAATTTATTTTTTAGGAAACCGACTAATTTCGGTCGATTTTTTTACGCAAAAATGTATGAAACTATTTGGCGTCCTGCAAAATTTATTTTTTATGAAACCGGCCAACTTTGATCGGTTTTTTTACGCAAAAATGTGTGAAATTATTTTGGCGTCCCGCGAAATTTATTTTTTATGAAATCGACCTTTGGTCTTTTCATATTAAATGAATTAAAATTAATATTCAAAAAGCCGACCAAAAATCGGTGTTATTTCAATCGGTCATTTTAAAAAATTAACCAACTTCAGTCGGTAATGTTATATTTTTAATAAAACCGACCGACGTCGATCGGTTATTTTCGCGCGAAAAGACAATTAAAGAGTACAAATAGAATAAAAGAAAATTTTAAATCAAAATGTACTAATGGTCTAGTGGTAGAATAGTATCCGACCATAGTATAGACCTCGGTTCGATTACTAGACAATGTATTTTTTTAATAACATAATTAAAAATATTGACTGACTTCGTCAAGTTTTTCGGCAGGTTTTTACTTTTTTGGTCGTTTGTGAAATTTAATTGACCGACCAAAATCGGTCAGAAATGGCACGACTTCGGTCGCTATTTTTACCGACTAGCCTAATTTCGACGGATTAAAGTCGGCCGAAAATTGATAGTTTTTTCAGTTTTCCAACCGATTTCGGTCAGTATTTTTGGACGATTTTTCGCAATTATCTAGTAGCGTACATTTATCAGTTTTCCATGAATAACTTTCGCCTAATCCTACAAAAGAACGTCTACATTTCTATGTGAGACAGTAGAAAATAATCGCTAACTCGATAAGCTTTATATAATGGTCAAGTGCAGAACACGAAAACTTTAAAAATTACATTCTAAATGGAAATTCCATTTATAATGTCAAATAAATATCCCTAATAAGTTCAATGAACCAGCCAAGATTATCATTATCTTGAGCAAAGGGATTTGGAACAGATGGAGATTGGAAAAAACTCGTACAAGCAAATATATGAGTTATTGCACCCAGAGCCACTTGATCCAAATCACCATTGGATTCCAAGGTTTGAGTAAAATTCTGGAAATCTAATCTCAAACGTATATACTGATGGAGACACTTCCTATAAATTTGCTTATATTCTGGATTTGTTTCACATGAAGTGATTGTCCAAGCCTTCCTTGCAATATTTGTGAAGTTTGAATACGCCAATCTAATTGTAACATTTTCAATATCGACCTTAGTTTTTGCCAATTGAGCCTCTGGATCATTTTCCATAACATTATAGCAAAACTCTCTAACCATAGAGAAATCACAAGCCCTTTGAATTAATGGGGTGACAGCATTTGCTCTTAAATTTGCACCATAGAAATCAACACTTAATAGAAAAATGTAGGGGAGGAGGAAGATTAGTGAGCTTGATGAAGAAGAAGAAGTTGATCTCCCCATTTTTGTCTCTCTTTGATCTATCCTAATTTCCTTGTTTTAGATTATAAATATGGGTTGGTGTGATATATAAAATGCAAAAATTAATTAGTAATATCCCGGTGTAGACATTATCTTGAAAAGTTAAAATTGTACTATTAATGTTTTTACCTATTACAAACTGAAATATCTGATTCCTATTTAATACGGGATTATGATATTCCAAATTTTCCTCCATTGTAATAGTCAACATGTTAAATTAATATATATTGATATATGCTCAACATCTTAAATTGATATATGCATTTAATTTCATACTTCGTTTGAGATCCCAGAAAAAGAATATATGCAAACACTCAAATGAAATATTCTCAAATTGTCCTAATTAAAGGGGCTGATGATCTTATATGCAAATTACAATCAATAAGAATCTAAAACACATATGCATTTACTAAATTTTCCACTGTCACACATGTTTAACCAGAAAATAGAAATTTCGGTCAAACTTAAATTTTAGAAATACTCGGATTACTGATAATCAAATTTGGAACAAATAAGAAGAATTGATTTAAACGATAGCTGAGTAAAAGAAAGCAAAGTAAATTAGTGTATTCCAATAATATGTGGTGTCCTTACAAATATTTGTTCCTCTCCTTTTATAGCTATTTCTAAATAATACGTTTCTTTACTCTCATAACAGAGCCATTATGAGTAATTAATATCATTAATGCAACGTTATAATAAACAATCGTAACTGTTTTGTGAAGATTCTGTAACGTCTTCCATCATTGACGCTCATTAATTACGGATAATACGTATCTGTACTTTTTGCTATCTAGGTTCATTCCTCCGATGTCTCTTCGAATTATCATGAGGTCCGAGCAGCCGTTCCTTCCTGTTTTCTTGAATCTCTGCCCGTGCCTGTTAAAGCTCGTGTCTCTTCAACTATTCTTTGCCAGCTGTCATTCTTTTATTGATCCGCATGTCTTGACATGTCAACACATAATTAATTCCATATGTTAACTTGATTTTTTCCAATAGAGATAGTCCCCCCCACTTGCCATTTATTCAACAATTAAATATTTGGGAAGTGGATCTCATTAAAGCGGGAATTTTTGCCGCCATTATACCTTCTCCAGAACTGACGCTTCGCATGTCATTTCCATTTAATGCTCATGACACGTGGCATTTTTTGATTGGATCTGCAACCCTTCAGCATCTTTTAGGCCTTTTTGTGGCTACATCAATCACGAAGTGATAGGTTTCGTTATGACATTCTCATCATTACCTTTTTTGTTTGACGGTTGCTTCTGAGTATAAATATATCCTTTGTTTCTTCTTTCATAAAAAAGTTTTCCATCTTTGACTTATTCAATCTTCCTTTATGTCTTCTTCAAACCTTGATCCTCGTAAAGTTCTTATTGTAGATAAACTTCCTCTTGCTCCAACTAGGAGCAGGAGAGGAGGTAGGTTACGTAGTTTAGAATTATCGTCCACTAGAGGTTCGCCTTCACCTTTACCTAGTTCTACTCCTCCTTCTTCTTTTAGAACTAGGGGTTCCCTTCCATATAGATCTTCTGCTAGAAGTATGGACTCTAATGATCCAGTCCGTGAACCCACAGTAGATGAAATTATTCCCTCTGAACTTTCTTTTTATACTGATAGAGAATCAATTAGGAAAAAGTTTGTTCTATGTCCTCTCTTGATCATGTTGATGTTTACCCATCTCAGATTACTGAAGGTTTGTTCTCTGTTGTCCGTAGAGACTGCCAATGGAATTTTGATTTCCCAATTATAATTCCAAATGCAAATCAAAGGATCACGTCTTTCAAGGCTAGCTTTTCATTCGTGTATACATATCTCATTACACTGGATTTTAGACCTCCCATTGATCCTGTTATCATCGAGTTCTATCATTTTTTCAATGTTTGTTTAGGACAAATTGGCCCTATTGTGTGGAGGGCTGTTGCTTGTCTAAGCTATTTGGCTAACTTGGCTCAACTGCCTTTTACTTTTTTTCATCTGATCCACCTCTACTCCCCCAAGCTGTTCCGACATGGGATCTTTACTTTGGTGGCGAGGAGTAAGAGGGTTTTAGTCAGCCCTGAGGATGACAAGGACCGTGGCTGGTATTCCAGATTTGTTGCTGCTCCTACTGTAGGGTTAGTAGGTGAAGAAAATATACCATTCCCTGAAAAGTGGAATTTTGCACGGAAGTTTACTTTACAATTTTCTTTCTTCCCCTTTTTTTTTGTTTTGAAAGGGTTTGTTTTTCCCGTGACTTTTTCACTTTCTCTTTTTTCAGCAACCATGGGAACTGTTGAAGAGATTCCCAATTTTCGTGGTTGGGTAGAAATTGTTGACTGTTGCTCCGATGGAGGTTAGATCTTGGAAATACATTTCAAATAGGTTTGGTTGGAAGGTTAAAACTCATGGTAAATACTTTACCCCTTTTTTTTCTATTTTCGTTCGTTCTTCCTTTAGAATGTATTTGACCCTTCTTTTTATCAGGGTTTTCTATTCATGGTGTAAGTGTTGAATCGATTGTAGCTTCTAGACTTTCTTTGGCAAGAGATCAGGAGATAATTTTGAGTTCTTCATCGAAAAGGAAAGCTAACAATCCCCAGGATTCTGAAGAGGAAGAGGAACAGGATGGGAGTTCATTGATTAAAAGGCCGCGAGCTAGAAGGCGTGTTACCTCAGATGATGAAGTTACTCCTTCCCGTTCTGTTCCCATGACCGAGCCTGCTAAAGCCACTTTAGTGAGTTCTGATGAAGGCACTCCTGTAGCAGCTCGTGACTCTGATGAACATCTTTTTTCTCGTGGGTTTGATAATGAAGGTTTTGATTTGGCATCTGATGAAGTTCCTCTTGCTTCTTTTCCCGTGTCTGTCCCAATGGAACAATCTTTGCCCGTTTTTACTGCTACTATTTCTGCTCCGTCTCAAGCCATTATGACTTCCTCTACAGTCCCCACTACTAATATTTCTCGAACCGAAGCTGCTTCTTCAAGTGGAAGTAGAGTGATGAAACAAATTACCATTGAGGTCCCTGCCGAAGGTAATCTTCTAAAGAAGTCAGGTCAAGCTGACGTGTGGTTGAAACCCCTGATCGATCCAATTGAAAAATCCAAGCTAGAAAGTCATAGTTCTTTGACTTGGATGAATGATATCGTGCAATCATCATTGAAGGTATAGATTTCATTTCATATTGTATACCACTTTCCTTTTACTATGATTCTTATGTATTCCTCCCTTTTTTTAGATAAATCTCATCGGTACGGAGATGATGAAAAGGGTTTCCCAGACGGAACAATTGATGCATGATTACCAGACTGAAATAAACAACTGGAAAGAGCAGTATGACAGTCTTCAGTTTGAGATGGAAGTTCTAGAAGAAAACAAGTGTACCTTAGAGCAGCAGTTGAGAGTCATGGCGTCAGAATTGGCAGTTGAAAAAGCTTCTTCCAACCAAGCGGGCAAAGATAAGAATACCCTTGAATCTTCTTTTGCTGAACAACTCTTCAAAGCAACCGAAGAGACCAGAGGTCTGAAGGCCTTGTTGAATGAGAAAGAAGTTTATGCTGGTGAGCTTGTTCAAACACTCACCCAGACACAAGAAGATCTCCGTGTGTCTTTAGATAAGGTCAAGTTTTTGGAGAGTTCACTTGCCCCTTTGCAATCTTCTTACGATGATGTTTTGGCTGAAAAGGAAGAGCTCAAGAGTGAAATTGATCAATGGAAAAGAGACTACGAGGCTCTTGAGGAGGTTAGTCGAGAGGATTTTAACTTGGATGCTGAGTTTACTAAAACTAATGAAACCATTGACAAAACGCAGCAAGGCCAAAGTTACTCTTCTCCCATGGCTGATACTCTCGAGTTCGTTGAAGCTGATCCTAGTGCGGTGGATGTCCCAGCTCCATCAAACCAAATTGAGCCTTCTATTGCTGTTGATGCTGTTTTGAACTCTTCTCCTGCTCCACAGTGAAAGTTTACTTATAAAATTTGACTCTTTTTTTTTTTATCTTTTTGGTGGAATATGTGGTATTACCCCTGGTCCCATTTAGGGGGTTATGTTTTTGGTGATAGCAAGTCCCCAGGTCTCTTCGGGGCTTTTTGTAAAAATGACAATCAGTTTATGACTAAGTTTATACTTAGTTTTAACTTAATATTATAAAGTTTTCAGTTTAACTTAATCCTTTTGAGTTTCTGTTATACTTTTTTTGCCTTGTTTTTTTTTAGTCCAAGGTATTGTTTTTAATTCGTGGGTTTTTGTCATACCATTTTGACTTTTTGCATTTTTAGAAATGCTTTATTAATTTCATGGATCTTTGAATCAAGCATGAATTATAAAAGAGGACCATTTTATATACGACACTTAATGAAGAAGACGTCTCAACTTCATAATGGTGTAAACATATGAAAGAAGAAATAGGAACACACATGTTTCGTGGAATAACTTTTGATAAAGTTTTTATTCTAACTTTGCTATCATACATGTATTTAAGTATTTTCTATAACTCTTCCGGATGTGACGACCCGACCCGTCATCTCATGAGTTACCGCTCTGTTTTCCCCATTTTATGCTTCTTCATGTTTCGTTATCGGTATTTGGTGTGTTAGCGTTGATTTGGATTGGTTTTGATAAGAAATGAGACACTTAGTCTCTTTAAGGAAGGCTTAAGTTGGAAAAAGTCAACCGGACGTTGACTTATGAGTTAGAGGGCTCGGAGGTGATTTCCGGTGATTCGGTTAGCTTCGGGAGGTGATTTGTGACTTAGGAGTGTGATCAGAATTGATTTTGGAGGTCCGGTGTAGAATTAGGCTTGAATTGGCGAAGTTAGTATTTTGGCGAATTCCGGTTGATAGGTGAGATTTTGATCCGAGGGTCGGAATGGAATTCCGAGAGTTGCTGTAGCTTCGTTATGTCATTTTGGACTTGTCTGCAAAATTTCATGTCATTCAGAGGTGGATTGGTTGGGTTTTTGATCAAAAATGGAATTTGGAAGTTCTTGAAATTGTTAG